ACTCCCGACTTACTTTATAGATCAATGTTATTTCTGCATGATTTGAAGAAGTGGATACTAATGTGATTCTTTGAATGCCAAGATATTGTTGTGTCTCCATATATAAATAAATAGTCCATTTGCGATCGACCTTTATGCAAATCAAATAAATATTTTGCATCTACATAATCAAATCATTTCTGACTTGGGGATTGATCATTTCAAGCTCGTTTTTTCTTCTGAAAGAAAATCACACATCTTCTATGTGTTGAGTCACTTATTTTGTTAGTTTCTTGTCATAACTTGAATGATAATATGGCAATTCTTTCACATAACTTTCGTTATGTATATCAAATAATCTTCTAGCATTTGCATAACCATCAATCTATAAGTGCACCAATTGCACTAATACATGACATTTTAAATCATTTTCATAAGATCAAATAGATTCTTTCTCTGTGTTAATCAGTCTCAAAATCATTGGGTACTCAATGAAATTGCTTTAAGACCTTTTAAATCCTTCAAGGATTTTCATATAACCTTCATTGTCTAGTTAAACATAATAATCATTCATTATGCATATTCAAGTATTTCATCTATTTTCAGACTGAAACAAGTCTCATTGCATCCACCACTGAGGAACATACCACCATTTAATAATGTCAGGACTTCTGCGAAACCCTTTATGCCTCGAGGTACAAACCGTACTTTATATCTTACGGTTATACTTTCGCACAATGATTCATTTGTACCCCACTGACATATATTTTGATCTATGAACCATAACTTCAAAAACATCACTTTTCTAAGTGAAACAAAATATACTTGAATAGTGCATTTTATTTGGCCAATCATTATTTGTCCACATTATATGACAGATTCGAATTTAAGATTCTCGTAACCACTTATAGCATTGAGTGCTACTTCATATCAAAGATACTGTCGAAGGTCATTTGACTCGATTCCAACACGACATAACTTATCGAGATCTCTTCATTTTTCATCATTTCAGGTACCTAAACATTTGCCAAGGTTTTATGAAGTGTTATGTCATAGTGCTCTTTCAAATCACTTACCTCATTATCATGACCATTTTGATAATTTGCTCATCTCCTTCCACAAGGAGTTTTACAGTTGGAATCGATTGGTCTATCACGCTTCTGGCGTACCATAGACTCTGTCATTCAAAGACTATTTATCGGAGCATTTGCAGTTTAATTAAAATATTGGGTCAGCAAATACATCTGGCAAATTAATTGCAACATTTTGCAAATGAATTATCTCTTGAACTTCAAGTTCACTTTTTTTTTAACGAGGATCTAGATAATTCACCTCACACATAATTTTCAGCTGCTTAACACATCTCCCCCTAATGTTAGGAAATCTAACATTTACCCCAACTTCATTTGGGGATCCATCTTTGTGCGTGGTGGAGCAATAAAATCATATGTGCACACATCAAATTTTTAGATAGAAATTATTTGGTTCCTGACCCTGAACCAATTGTAATGGGAAAACATTGTTGGCTTGATACATACATGTTAAATAAACTCATCTCATACCAAATTTTATTTGATAGATTTGTTCTCATAATCAATGGTCTAGCTATAATTGGAGGCAAACAATTTCTGCTAAACCAACCAATATTATCAACATAATTTTATAGTTTGGAACTATGCTCGTAATTTAACAATTCGAGTAAACAACCTTACAAAAACCAATTTGTAAGTTGATACAAATGCACATGCAATACCATAGATGCATCTATTAAATCCTAATAGTAAGCGGTCCACATGGTAGGTGAGCGGGCCCATATTCACCTTTCTATATGTTCCAAATAATTTCAGGGGATACAATCCCAACCTTAGCTGGAACATTGATCATTTTATCATGAGAACAAGCAACACGAGAATTCTTGAAGAATCTTTCTTTTTCTTCAAACATGTAACCACGTGAATTTTCAATTTCTTTTGCATCATGTTTGAACCGGAATGGCCAACCGGTTATGCCAACTGATATTTATTCTAGTAAACTTCTAGCTTACTTTTGCATGTGATTCCTTCATCATGCTCATATCTTTATACAACAAACAAGAGAAAGATGGGTAACTTTTTATGTAAATATCAATAACCCGCTTTGATTGTAGTAATCTAAAGATATTTAATCTTTCCATAATTTACAATCTCAATATAATAATTTTTCTTTTCAATTCCTCCGAAACTTAAAAAGTTTCTTTTGAGACTTACTACAACCTCAATATTATGAACTATTGCATTTTCTGGATAGTAACAAATTAGTCCTTCCGAAACTTTCAATTAATTTTGTGTACTGCCACAAATTTCACAACATCATTCTTATGGTGACCATCTCCTTCAAGGAGAAAATTATTATTATTGTCATGGTTAAAATTATTATTGCAAGACTTATTTCTTGACAGTCAATGACAAATTTGTGTTGCCACACAATAATATTTATTTTGGTCATGGTCACGACCTTTATAGGAAATAATTATTTCTTTCTTTTGTCCTGCAATAGTTCATGATAGAACATACCACAATATTTGTGATGTATTCAAAGTATATGACCAAATAATCATTTATGTCAAAATATTTCTTTTCAATCTCTCAAACCTTCCATAGAGGTGAGAAGTGACATTTATCCAACAATACATGAACATGTTCTTATCCATAAGAACGCAAATCACATTTTCTTTAAGAAATGGACCGTAACAATTTGAACATGCTCCATAAGTTTTTATTAGAAACTCATTATCATGCTTTCGCCTTTATCAAATTTATGTGACTCACATCAACATCACTTTAAGAGGTCAAATGTACTAAATGTACTACCACTTTGTATTCCTTTATTTAGATGGAGGATTTACAAAACTTTTCAAATTTGGGTTGCACCAATAACAATGTGCCCAATAACTTCTCATACCACTTTATTACCTTAAAAAATTACCTTCACATTTGAAGGAGCATCTTAAGAAACAATGTGTCCAATAACCTTACATACCACTTTAATGGAAAAAATTACCTTCACATTTGAAGGACCATCTTAAGAACTCATAATGTTCTTCCTTTTAATTACCACAATGATGACCATTAACATTTTACCACACCCATATTCATACATTCAGCCACTTGTCATTTTTCAGACATATTATGCACTGCTACCACATTCACATAAGAGAATGGAGCAAATTAATTGGATAAATTTCATGACTTCTAGTCAAAAGTATAAAACTTTATGTTAGTCATCATCATATCATCACTATAGTGCATTAGGACTTAAACCCAATGACTTACCATATAAAGACGCCTTTGGTCATAAATCAATGGGACTTGAACCCAACTTCTTATTATCATGGGGCACCGAGACTTTAACTCGATGTCTTACCCACTTGGTGCGGTGAAACCTCAATTCACCGTCTTACCCTCAACCAATATCTTAATAAACCAAATGCATTACCAAAAAATAAATATTGAATACCATAAATTAATCTGAATTTGACTTAAAATTGAATAAAAATAAACAAAACTAATTGATTAGAACAACATGTTCGAACCATATAAAAGTTTCAAGTTAAAATAAATCAAAATCTTTTAATAGTCCTTCTCAATATTGTTATGATGATTATCATTATTTACTAACCATTTTAAAATAACCACAAAACAAGTTTGGTTAGTACAAATAATATATAGGATATGAAGTATACCTTGCAATCGAAGAATTACTAGGATAATTCATAAAACTTAAGAAATACCTACCATTGTTTCTTGATGGAGAATGAGCAACTTGTGCTGATAATGTGTTGTAAAACTAAAGCAAAATAAGATAAGAAATATAGAAGACGAAAGTAATAGAAATAGGGAGACAAGAGATGAGAGCTTTTCTTATTATTCCAAGGCTTCAAGTATATACAATATGAACCCTTATGCCTCTATTTATAGTGTAACATAGAGGCATACAAAAGGTTAGTCATAAACATGACATTAACATGAATATAATGGAGAAGGTTATGAAAGTGAAAGGTTACAAGAATAATGGTTATAAAGTTAGAGGTTATGGAGGTTATGGTTATCTTCACAATGGAGGAAAGTAATGGAGATAATGGGTGAGAGTAACTTCTTGGTGTAATGGACATCCACACTATAATATTTTATAACACAAACTGAATTTTAAATACTTTTTTTGTCATATTAATGCTGCATAATGAATCAGACACAATAATCTTATAAGTTACTCCATAATATTTTAAAAGTCATTACATTTCTTCAATATTTCAATCTTCTATTACTTAGAGAAGACCAAAAGTTACTATCTTAATTATTCAAACCATTAATGATTTTAATAATGTTGAAAAAACAATTTATGAGTCACTACACCTATTAGTATAAATATATATCTGTCATGCTTTTCTCATTTGCATTTCAAATCTTTTAGTTATTATTGAAGATTTTTGTTTGCTTATGAGTTTAATGTTATTTATTTTTCTTTTTATGCTTTGTAATAATTATTATACAATCAATTTTTTATACTATTTTATATTTTTACATATTCATATTTGAATCGAAGCAAGAGTCACATGACTTCTGACCACATTTAAGTAGATCATAACGATATTCAACAAATGTATCAATTTAGTTTTTAATTTTCATGCATAATAATTGATTTTATGAGATAAACGCTTTATATATAGAGAGAGAAAGTCGAATAATATATGTACTATTATTAGGGGGGAAATACAAAAGGGAAAAAAAGAAAACATATTTGGTAACCTAAACAAAGAATGCAAAATAAAATGTCCAAATGACTAGTGTGAGAAATTAAAAGGAAAATAGTCTTAGAGGGCAAACAAAAAAAGAAAAATTATTTTTCTTCCTAATGAAGGAAAATAGTTTACTTCCAAATTTCCCTCCTTTTCGAATTTATCAGGAAGTGGCCTTTCTATATATATTCTATTGTATATCGGTATTTGTCGTCAACTCAATTTTCTCATTAGTGCGTAAATCTTGCTCATTAGCATCTCCATCTTGATCAAGATTTATTGATCTTGATGATCAAGATGGACATGCTAATGAACAACATTTGGCGCTAATTATGCTGATCAAGATGGAGATGGTAATGAACATGATTTAGGAATGCCACTGATCAAGATGGATATAGAACGTACAGATCAAGATGAAGGAAGAACTGATCAAGACGGGGGCGTTCCGATGAACTGAATGATGTAGACGGACCAACTAATGATGAAAACGAAGATATTGATATTCTGCTTGATAGTAATTAGCACTCAACTTTAGTTTGTGGATGAATTTTACAAAGCCACATTGTTTGGATGCTAGTGTTGTAAGGATGGGTCTTTTACGAAACTGTTATAGTAAATTCACTGTCTAGTATAGGCTACATTCTTTATTATTATTATAAGGAAATTTGTTTTAATGGTGAGAATATTAGTACTTTTCAAGATTCAAGAACTGATTTTTTAGTATAAAAGAATCACTTCTCAGTCCTCTTTGATCTACTCTACTATGTTTTTTCAATCTCTTGTATAAGGTACATTGTTTATAATTTACATCGAGCAATTATAAGTTTGATCATAACCGTAGACTAACGTACTAATAAAGGCATATGTTCTTTGATAGACATAGGATCACGCTGATCCAAACCACATTAAATCTTATGTTTTCTCTTTTACGCTTCTACTAACACCAACAAAATTGTATTATAATGCCAACAAAATTCTACTACCATAAGTTTCATTTTTCTCATTTAAAAATGACGGGAGGATATATTTTGAGATGTTAGTTAAGTTAATTTGGATTATTATTATTATTATTATTATTATTATTATTTTCATTTGAAGTTGAACATTCCTGTTTTCATTTTTTCACACATAAGAATGAGATGAAGTGGTAAATGGTAATATTATGCTTTATAGAAACGGTCCTTGCATGAACAAAAAATTGTTTTCTTTACTATTAGGAACAAATTATTCACTTGGTGATATCTCTAAAGAAGAACCGCGGCTATGGAACCTTCTGCTTTGGCCGCTGTTCTGTTATGATATCTTTTCTTTTTTTAAAAAAAAAAAGAAACAGAAACATTACAAGCTACAACATTTTATCCCCCTATACTAAGGCAGGTTTCTCATCGAAGCTTGGCATCATTTTGTTTGCTTCCTTTGAATGCTGAAAGAGAGAAGAACGATCGTGTTGCTGAAACATAAAAGCACCACAATGTTAGCAAAACATACTCATTACAAGTTTATGGCAAGAAAGTAAGTCAAACTTGAATTGGAAAAAAAAAAAACATAGTAACCTTTTGTTGTAGTCGCTGACGCTGAGATGTGTCCCTCTTGCAATTTCTTAGCAGCAATTTTGCCTATACTAGTTGGTCCTGCAAACAGAAAGAAATGTCCAGAATCCATAACAATGATCAACCAAAGGCCATCAGAAAGTAATTTAACACTCTTGCATATATGAAATGATTAAAATTAACAAACTAAAACAGTGATCAGAATGGAAAATGAAATGCTTGATCTGAAGCAAGAATATACCAGATGGCTCGTAGACTTCAGATGATGACGATTTTTGTTGCCCAGCGTTTTTTGAATGAAGTGTAGCCTTCCTTAATAGATTGTCAGAACTTCTCCTAGTAAGAACTTTAGAATCCTCTGGATCATCCTCTCCCTCAGAAAAGACAGGGGGGCTTGAAAAACCAGTTGAATTTGCATCAGTCTTACTTTTTCGAGCAAACTTCAGAAGCCGCTTTAAACCTTTAGGTTCATCTTTCTGATAGATCATGGTTGGTGGATTCTCAGCATTACCCCAGTCAATTACATCAGTTTCACCGTTGTCTTCGAGCAGCATTTGAGAAAGAGAATGACGAACTCGTGGACTTGAGACTCTTACAGGTGCAACATCACCCAAAGAATCATTATTACAGAAATCACCATTACTTGGAAAAGACTTAGCCTCGAGCTCCTCTATTTCCACCCAGGCACTAGGTGAGATGTTTGGCTCTCCTTCGACCTCTTCTTTTGGGGTAGAATCTTCAATCCTTCCAAAATCATCAGTGTCATTTGAAGTGACCATATCAAATCTTTCTGCATTTTCATATTTCTGGGGGATCTTTGCCTGAGCTTCAGAGTCTTTATCCTCGTGGACTTTTAAATCTTCAAGACCCTTATCCTGCACTTGATTAACATGATCAAAAGAAACAGAAGCCATCTCTTTCTCTTCCATTTTAACCGAATCAACAGAATCCGTCACACTCTCTTCAGGCTGAGATGCAACTTTAACCTTTACAACTGGACCAAGACCAGAGCTAGGAGCAGATCCAGTACGTGAGCCCTTACGAAGAAAAGGCTTTGTCTCCTTTGATTCCAGAGGCATCACACTACTTTTCTTTGTTACCTTGCTGAGCTTAGGTTTCGCTGAGAAAGCAGAATCTTCAGATGCAGGCTGAACTTTGGATCTTCTAGGTTTGCTAGTTTTTGTCACAGTTTCTAACTTCTTTTCACTTACACCTTTAACAGTTCTTCTGGTACCATTCTCAGTTGCTCTCACTGTCTTTGGTTGTAATTTCTCAACCTTTTCGCTTGACCGTGGAGCGGCTGGTGCTGGCTGGGATATTCTGCGGGTAGGTGTAGTACCTGGAGTTTTAGCAGGTGATATCCCTGCAGCCCTTGGTGAAGGTGCAGATGGCCATGATTTGCGGGTAGCTGGCAATGGTGATGTTTTCAATGGAACTTTCTTTACAACAGCAGGATTAGGAGTTCCACTTCTGGGATTGGAAGATTCAGGTAAGTTCTTCACTGCTTTCTGTGTTCTCTTTATATTTGATTTTTTACTATCATTACTCGCTTTTTTTGAGACCATCTCAGCTTTTTTCCTATCAAGAATTTGTTGCAGTGCTTTAAATTGCTTTCCCTTCTCTGCTTGCTTCCTGGTAGTTTCACCACGAAGTTTCTCATCCCTCTTTTCTTTGTAATGATCATAAAAGCCACCTCTACACTCATTGGGAAGACGTTGGAGTTTGCTATCACCAGGTGCCAAGTTCTGATATTTGGTAGGTTTGGTTTCCATCATCCTCATCAGCAATTGGTTTAGTTCTGCTTCCTTTTTTCGAGTCCATTCGACTGAGGCATTTAATTTCTGATCTGTTTCTTCACCTTGGTTAGGGAGACATTCCTTTCTCATTTCCTCTGGACTAGATGCTCTTTCTTCAGGTAAGTTTGATTTGCAATCATTGTCAACAGCCTCAGCATCATAGATTTCGGGAGTAGGATAAGACTCTGGCTTCATTTCTAAAGTGCTCTCAAATTCTTGATCTTCCAATTTATTGGCTGCCAGGGAAGTCGGATCACCAGAAGCAACATCTACTGGATTAGCACTTTCACACACCCCTGAACTCCATCTCTTCAATACCGCCTTATTAGCAACTGAGACATTCAATAATGACTTTGTCTTCTGAAAATCTACTATTTGACCTTTCTGTTTGTTTTCAAAAAGATGAATTGCATCTTGCACACTCATTCTTTGTAAATTGTTCTCAGATTTTTTTGAGGTTTGCTCATGTTCTTGCTCATCACAATCGCTTGCAGATTCATCTCTATGAGAGAATGACCTTTCCCTGGCAGGAAAGAAGTTCAGACTCTTTATTGTTAAAGCAGTGGATCGTCGTGAGCCAGAGCGTCCAATTTGGACTCTTCGCATTGGAGATGCAGACCTCCTTGGTGATGCAGATCTGATAAGGGTCCGACTCCTTTCCATCGATGGTTGTTCCTCCTCACTTGTCAAAGCTGATTCCTCACTTGCTGATGAGCTTTGCCTCTCAAGCTGCGCTGCTTTCGCAGGCGAGGCACTATATTTCACAGCTGTATCTGATTGTGGTGGTTTGGATGTCTTAGAAGTACTCCCTACTGGACCAGTTTTTTCATTCCTGGCATCGTTTTTAGAGAGAGATGGCTCTTTACCAAGAGAATCACCATTTGTGTTCTCCTGCCTCAATGCAACAAACTTTCGCAGACAGTTCCTAAAATAGACAGCACATCCTTGGTCATTACCAAAACCACATATCTCGGTTCTAGAAGATTTAGTTTCACATCATTGATAGGTAGAACGAGCCTATTTATAAGTTAAACTACATATGAAAGAAAACATTCACTACTCAGAAGTTTTTAGTTTCAGTTTCCAAAGTCCTATTGCCCCAAGGAACTGAATGATTCCCCCTCTCCCACATTATATCAAAAGAAATTGGAAGAAGAATATTTGCAATCTCTCCGTAACAAACACACGTGCAGAAAAAGGACTACAATCTAAACTGGTAAAACTAGGAAGCACCAAGGCCTTCAAGATGGAATTTCCTCGTGTGAGCAAGGATAGCTAAGTCACCTTAATTTGACAAAGTCAAAATCCAGAACTCAAGTCTCTCCTCTCAACCAAATGGCTCTATGTCCACTAGAAAGGGTTAGGAAGACCTCCGATCAACTCATTGATAATTCGAAAATAACTCCTTCCATGCCACAATAGGAAGGAGTGGAGGTCGCATATTAGGGTAGAGGGATAGTAGGGGTGCATGTCGTAGTTCTAGTAGTACCCTTATAATTCTTGCTATGTGTTTTTTATTGTGCTTGCGATTATCACACTATTTTACCATTGTTAGTGTTTTTTTCTCGTAGACTTTGCACTGCTGCAAGGGTATTAATGACTATGTTTTCTTCATATTATTTTCTTCTTCTTTTACTTGGGTTTGATGCACAAGGGTCTTTCGGCAACAACCTCTCAATCTCCACGAGGTGGTGATAAGGTCTGCGTACACTATATCCTCCCCAGACCCCACTTAGTGGGATTTCATTAGGCATGTTGTCGTTGTTGTTCTGGTAGTTAAAATTGAACCAAAAGGTAAATGTGGCTTCCATTATAACATGATCACTCAAAATAGTATGCAAACTAAAAGTTCAGCGAAATGTTGACAAAACGTAGAAATTGCTACATAATTTTTTATATTTTATTTTTTAATCAACCCATCATTAAGGATTGTGAGTCCTTAATGTGGGGAGTTAGGCTTGATCCCTACCATGTCCATTCATGTGCAAAAAGTTACATAGTTAGAGGGGGACATGATTTGATGTACGTAAAAGAGAAACCTTCTGGCTTCAGTCGCCTTTTCAGTCCATTAACTTACCTTAAGTCAACAGCTCCAAAATAATAAGAGAACTTCTCTATGTTAGTGATATCCCCAAAAGAGCATTTGGTGCCAACAGATTGGTCAAAAACAGTAGCTAATTCCTCTGTTAATGCAGTGAGCCTCAAGTCCATTGCCCGCAATAATTCATTCCTGTTCAAATGAGAATTTTAGGAGCTGCTGGAATAATTATATAATATAAACTTTAAAGAGTCCCGAGGAGATACTTGGAAGCATCTGATGAAGAAGGGTTATCATCATCCTGAATAGAAATCAGTAATCATGTTAGCTTCAAATATATATATAAGCTATAATCTCTGTGAAATAAAGAAGATGATTCGCAAAAAAGGAGAGATCGAATTACATCAACTGTTGGTGCCGCACAATTTGAGTAGCTGACATCTGCAGGAAGAATAAGAAAGGATATCACTTGCGAGGCAACAGAGTCAAATTAGTCTAGGCATAATTCAAAGCAGAATAGGACATGATGCGATTTTATGTTTAATATTGCCAAGCACAGAATAGTAGAACTAACCTGTTTCCTCACTCCCAGTATGATCTTGAGGACCCTAAAAGAGTAAACGAGCTTAGTATTCTGTTTGCCACATGTTTCAATGAAATAATTGAAGGAGCACAAAGGATGTTAAAAACCCAAAGCACCTTTGAGTACAAAGAAAGATGAAACTTTCGAGCATCTTCAAGCTGTGATATTTCATTTACCGTTGCCTTGGCCACATCAATTATATCTGATGAACTTATAATACGAAGAAACCTGAAAAGGAGGAGGAATTGCAGTGTGAGAATATGAGCACTTAGAACAAACGAAGGAATAGTTTGAAACAAATGATGTTGTATGAATAAACCTGATTAACGTGGATTTCGTAAACCATTTGGCATCACTAAGATTACCCAGAGGCTTAAATTTGAAGCAGGAATCTGAGCCTTTGGAGTGCAATGATTTGATTTTGGGAGAATGTAGCACTAATTGCTTCAGAAGCCCCGAGGATGCTGCCTCTACCTTGTCTCCATAGATCATAAGTGTCTCATACCTATGTCAAGAAGGAAAAACAAATTGTTGAACAAGCTCATTATCCAAAGTAGCATCCATGTCGAATTCATTAAGCATTGTGTTACTACAGTAATATATACAAACACAACAGGTATTTTAAATTAGTTGCACTGGATCAACGAATTGTCAATCTTAAAGATAGTATCCACTTCATTTTGGCCAAAGAATACAATGAGTCAAAGATTGATCAAACCTCTTAAAGATACCACTGCAAGAACTATGAGATCGCAACACGAATGAAATCAGTTGAATAGAAAACAAAAGTCTAACCTCCCCTGGCTCGGAAAAATCTTAAATTCAACATACTCCAGCAAGACATCAGCATCCACACCTCCCTCCACCATCTTGATCCCTCAAAAACACTCAACCTGGTAAAAACAACACTAAATTACATTACATTATCCCTATATTAGGATGCTCCTGATAGAAAACTCATCATCTGCATTACGTATCTATTTGATTGAGGAAAGAAACTAACAAACAAAACATTTACACCAAGAATAACACTAAAAATAGCCACCAAATCAATACATCACCTGATCACGATTTTACATATTATAGCTTTACGGGAACTAAACTCCAAGCAAGATTGCCTAAATTTTTTCTATGGCACTAACAACTTGACACAAGTTAAATCTAAAGTGTGAAAGGTGAGTAAAGCAAGAATTGAGCTAAAACAATAAAGACCCCACCAACCCACATTGAAAAATTAGATCTAAATTTAAAAAGATTCAATCTTGGGGCAAAAGGACCACCGACAAGCAAACCCCATGTTCCATCAAGTCAATGCACACCCTTACAACAACTCAAATTTCAAAAACAATAAAAAAAATCTATATGCATCAACTTGTAATACTCTTTCTGGGTTTGTTAAAAAATGTAAAAATGCAGGTGGAATTACTTACAGAAAATGAAGATTGAAGTGGGATTTGAAGCTAAAATGTTAAACTGATTTTTTCAAAATTGTGGACAAACACAGTGGAGTGTAAAGCTAAAAGCTCAAAAAGCACACAACTTTAAAGTGTGAGGGAGAAGATAAATAAATAAAAAGAAGAGTAAGCTAAGAAACAGCGTGTTGTAGAGAATAAAATATGTGCATTTGTAGAGAATCAAAACGTATATCATTGTCATAAAAATGGGTGTTATCATGATATAATTATGATTAATTAATTTATAATCAAGATTTCATTTTTTGAAAACTTTAAAATTCAAATTTCACCAAATAAATTTTACTGTATTTCGAGAGATTGCGTTTGGAAAAAGGCTGCCTAATTAGCAGAATGAAAGACAAATAAAGCCAAGGAGACAGTGCAAGTGGGGACAACCTTTGATTAATATGTTAGATGTGTTTATTATTGCCTCATCATGTAATGTTTTTCCACTTTTTTTTTCTTTAATTTTGTTTTTTTTCAAACTTAAGTTTGATTAGTATAAAATTATTGACTGGTCCTCTCATCTTATGACTCCGTTCGTATCAATTTAAGTATCAATTTAATTTTTTTAATTTTTAAATCTATTTCAAATAAAAATGTCTGTAGTTTTTTCAATTTCAACATTCTAACAAAGTTTAAAATAGAAAATTTCAACGTCTCTCATTATTTTTCAAATTAAGATATTTAAATTGGGAAAGAGGAAGTATTGTTTCTTAAAGTTGTATTGTTGCTTTCTCCTCCGATTCTTTGTTAGTACTTTCCTGCTAATTGTCTTTGGTCTTTTTGTCTCCGTCTACGTGACACCTTTTTTTATTTAGTTCATTAAAAAAAGGCATATTTTCATAATTTAACTTTAAAATTTTTCTTTTAATTTTTTAAAGAAATAATTTATGCACATATAAATATCTAAGGTTTTTTTTAGAACACATTTCAAAAAAGAAATCCTTTTTTTAAAAAAAATATTATATCAAATCAAGCGATCTCATAGAAATTGGAATGGGAGGGATTAGCTTTCTAATTTTAAAAATTTGGCTGTAACTAACTGACTATATAAAGGATTTAGTAGTTTGCAATTGTTTCCAACAGTGGAAAGGGTAAAATTTACTTTTGTTGTGTTAAAGAAAAAGTGAAACAAAGAAAAATCCTTTACATTAATTTCTACAAATAGGATTAAACATTAATTGAGTAAATGCAAGCAATCACGTACGTTCCATGCATATAGCTTTTTGACATTGCTTGAAATGGTTTAAAGGCCAACCTCAGCTAAAATCACATTTACTTTGAGGATATACTAATGTTCGGTATTTGTATTGGAGTCCAACTAATTTGAATTTGTGTCATGTAGTCAGTAGGGTCCCATTTGAAGGGAAGCACTCCCTATCAAGAATTTTTTTTATATATCCTTCAACCCAGACCTCTGGTTAAAAGGTGAGCAGTCTCATCCGTTACACGACATTTTTTATGGTTAAAGTCATGCCATAATGATTGTGAGCTATCACGTTTGGCTTTTAGTTTATGCGTCCTTTTTTTTGGTATATATATGGAAGTTAGGTGCTGGATTTAGATGAGCATTCATTAGATGTATGCTCTGGTTTTGTTCGAGTACTTGGTGATTAACAAAATGTCAGCTAATTGCCAAAAGAAAAAAAATTGTAAATCGAAGCCTGATAGTGACTAATTGACTACTATTATAATTAGTTACGGCAGTGCAATTGCTAGTTTTCTACTCCTCATTTTTCATTCATGTGACATAAATAAGTTGAATCGATAATGATTTTTTTAATAAAAACTTTTAAAACTCGTATTCTAAGCTATGATATAGCATTTGTATAGCTATAAAAAAAAATTAAACCTATCTAGCATTTATAGGATTATAAAAGTTTTTATTACATATAGAAGAAAAGTGTAATGCTAATTATTTTCAAATTTTGATTAAACTAAAAAGAAAAATATGTTACATAAGTACTAATTAGTTTCGTTCAGTCTCCACGTATCTCAAATTTTGTGAATTTATTATAATAAAGATTATTCAGTTAGAAATTTAAATAGGCAAAAGCGTTTACCTCGTGCAAAATGTTGCACCTTGGGGCTTGGAGTATTCGTCTTAGCAGACCATTACACTGGTCCACTTTTAATTGTCATGATACATTTTTCGAGAGTTAATTAAATTAATTTTTAAAATTAAATTAGATTATATTAATTCGATATTTTAAACAAAAATTTTAGATATTCAAAAACTATACGAAAATTACTATAAATTGCTATTTTTTGCATATAATATGATGAAAAAATACATCGTAAAATATTTGTCAAAGTTATTAGAGTATCGTTTAACTCTAAAAAGAGAAACTATGACAATTAAAAGTGGACGGAGGTAGTACTTATTATCATAGATTCTCTTGTTTTATCAGTAAAATTTGTACTAAAAACATTAAAGAGAAAACAAGAGGGAAGGAGCCAGACATATCACGTATGAAAACATTTAATTGCGCGATTTATCCATCAAATGAATTGATCTTTAATCTTTGTCTTTCAAATGAGGTTCAAGTGGTCTTTAAGTTTTACTCTTCAAATGGGCTGGTGTTCAAATGAACTGATTTGCAGTTTCTTTCCTTGAGAAATCAAACTCCAAGATAATATTATGATGCGAAAATATAAACTTATACACTGTGAAAAAGTAAATTCAAAAATTAAAAATCAAAATCGGGACAAAAGTGCAAATGACCAGCATGGAACCGTTATTCATGTATGCTTATCTTTCTAGACTTAGAAGATTGAGACACATTCCAGATCATTTTCTATTTGTGAATTATTTATGGTGACAATTACAAGCCAACCACAGCACATTCTATACAATATCTTCTTCACTCGTCTATGCCATTTGCATATAAGATTCTTGAAGATATTTGTTGTAATATTTTGTTTAGACTTGTTTTTTATAAACACTGTGATAACGACTTTCAATTGATTCATCATCACATCTAAATTATGGTTTGCTTTTCAATTTTACACAAATGCAGGTTAACAGTATAATATGCTCTCAGCCATTTCACCGTCTGTACAACTCAGTAGAAAGCCAAAGTTAAAGAAACACTCCCAACACTAGAAACTATCAACTCACTCTAGTTCAAAAGAAATATCACTGGGTAAACCAAATTATTAACAGACATGCACTGTGAAGTAAATAGATGTCACAAATCCAATCATCTCCCCTTCTCGGGGGTAACACTACAAATAAAATAAAAAAAACACAGCGAGCGAGCCAGACGAGAAGATGGCATTCAATGGTGAATTCTTCTCGTGGCATATTTGTGTCACCTTTTTGACATATTCAGAGAATGGCATTCAATGTCGACCTTCAGTTGGACCATACATGGATCAGCCCAAAATTGTTTCCAGTATAGATCTCATTGTGCTCTTCATCATAGAAAAGGGCAGTGATATCTTCCAGGGCTTCTGCAACTGTGCTTCTAGTTCTAGAAGCTTGGATACGCTTCTTAGCGTTGCAACTTCTGCCACCATGCCCATTGCAATTGGTACTGCAACTGCAATCATCTGTGGTACGTCTTTCGGTTGCTTTTATTTTAGCGAGGCACTTGCCTGTCAAAATGTTGCTGATATTGATCGATCCCGCTGTAAAACCAGATCAGTCATATTCACAGATTTATAAACAAGAATAGAACATCAAAAATAATAAAACCACGAGGCAAGCATCAAAATCTACTGAGTCACCCTACTCCCAACCATCCAGATCATGACTAATGACCACATCATTTACTTCCTTTCTCCAAGCTTAGCAATGCTGGTGAAAGCAGTATTTTAAAGAGAACAAATAGAAATATAAAAGGCATATCAGCTCTAATCATTTTTTATTTTTTTAACAAGGAGCTCTAATCATATTTATTACTCCCTCCGAGCTATTTTATATGGTGTTTTTTAGCTTGAGCACACCCCTTAAAAAAATTCACTCCTAGAAAGTAAGACGTACAACAACAACAAATTGGGTTGGGAGTTTAAAATAGTGTGGGGTACACATAAACCTTACCCCTAACTTTGTCAGTAGAGAGCTTGTTTCCGATAGACCTTTGGTTCAAAAATATTGTTTTCCAAAACATGGTTTGAAAGAAGTGCAAGAGTAAAACGCTATGATGAGAATATTGAAGAAATAAAAGTACTTACAATAAAAATAATATATATAACCAAAGTAAAAGAAACAATAGTAGTAATAAAATCAAAGAACAAGGTAATGCTAGCAAAATAATAATAATAATAATACTAATATTGATAAGGCCATAAGAGAACAGATAGGTGCTCCAGCCTAGAGCCATACCACTTGGAAGAGAGAAAATATTCAAGTACCTACTAGTTGTCTACCCTAATTCTTGACATCCATGCTTTCTTATCTAAGATTATGTCCTCGGTGAGCTGAAAATGTGTCATGTCTCACCTCTCCCCAATTCTTCCTTAGTCTACTGCTACCTCCCCTCAAACCTATCACCACCAACCTCCCACACCTCCTCACTGGGGCATATGTGCTCCTCCTTTTTACATGTCCGAACCATCTTAGCTTCGCTTCCCACATCTTGTCCACCCCAGAGATTACTCCCACCTTGCCTCATATATCTTCGTTCCTAATTTTGTCTCTTCTAGTATGCCCACACATTCATCTAAGCATCACTTTTGTTACTTCATCTTTTGAAGGTGCGACCTCGACTAGCCAACACTCCACCCGTACAACATAGTCAGTCTAACAACCACTTTAGAACTTACCTTTAAGTCTCGGTGATACATCCTTATCACATACGACATCGAATGCATGCCTCTATTTCATCCACCCTTCTCCAATACCGCGAGTAACATCCTCGTCGATCTCTGTTTTCTTGGATTATAGACTCGAGATACTAAAAGCCTCTCCTCTCGGGGATGACTTATGTATCAATCATCACCCCCCCCCTC